GATCAGCAGGAACAAGTGAAGTCGGCCATCGAGAAGTACAAGAGCCTTTGAGGCTTCCAGGTGATTCAGCCTGGAGAAGAGCTGAGAAGTGTGAGAAGTGCTGAGATGCGGCTTTACAGCAAATGCTGTAGATAGCCGCAGTTTCTGGTGGCAGCTGCTCTCTACTTTTGAGTTTAGAGGTGATACCACCGGCAAAGTTTTACTTAGATCGACCTTGTACCAAGTCGTGAGAAACAGGATGAGCAGGAGGCAACAAGTCTAGTGGAACATTTTTTGGAATCGTTGGTTTGGGGTTCATTCATTTGGACAAACTCATTAGCTAAAGCAGGAACGTTGACGCTAGCTTGAGCTTTCTTTCGAGTGCCTGGAGTGCCTCACGTTGACGTGCGCACAACATGACACCGACAACAATCGCTGTGAGGTTCTCATCGAGAAGGAGAGCCGACATTATCGCTATGGTGATGCCCTGGAGATCACCGTCGATGTGAGAGGCTTCAATCCAGTAGCTCGACAGCTGCTGTACCAGCCGGGAGCCTGAGCAGAACGCTCTCACTCGGCGATGCCGCAGTGGATTTCTGCGGAGCCTCGTGATTGGCCCCGCGGCTTGCAGGCTACGGGGGCAACTGCCGAAGTCTATAATGCAGCTGGGCATTCTGGTACAAGGTGGGTGGGAAGCAGACGTCCGTCGAGATGGGACGATTGGTGCACACCCTCTTTAAACCTCTTTCTTTTCCATCAGCGATTCGAGCATTGAGTGTTTTGATGTGGGAAGGATGTTGCGCAGATCCGAATCGGCCTTCAGCTCGTCCGAATCCGCTTCGGAGGCGTGGAGGAGTTCGAACTGCCGGAGGGCTTCCTCGGTCTCGCGCGTCTCGATGGGCTGGACCGACCGGGTCGGCAGGTCGTCATCGGACGATGGGACGCGTGAGGAACGGCGTCCGATCACGCCGTTCGTTTCGATGCCCTTTGTTCCGTTCGTAGTAAGGCCAGGAGCTACGTTCGTAGCGTCCTTGCTCCTAGTAGCGATGCCCTTTGCTCCTAGTAGCTTCTTGTTACAACTAGTAAGGCACCTGTTACTAGTAGCGATGCACTTGTTACTAGTAGCTTCTTGTTAATGGACATCGCAGAAGGCCAGGGCGCTCTTTGAACTTGATCCCGATGCGAAACCAGGACTTGGTCGCCGGGCGAGCTGTCTCAGCCTCCTCTCCTGGTGGCAGTCTTAAGCAGAACGTGGGACGAAAGAGGAACGCCCTGCCTCCTTTGCTACTTTTGCATGTTTTTTCTTGGCGGGCTGGTACATAGTCAGACCTATCCCCCTCATTAAAACTCCGATTCTGAGCTGGAAAAAAAGCATTCCCAGCAATTTGCTGGACCCGACCTGTTCGTTCTCCTACCCTAGCAATGGTCTCCAACCTAATAGCGACGGCCTCCACCCCAATAGCGATGTGCCTATAGTTCAAAAGTTCAAGGTTGCCTTTCCTCATCTTTCCGCATGAACTTTGAACATGCCGAGTGCCGCCGACTGCCCCTCTCGTGTTCTTCTCTCTTGTTCCGCGCCGAGGTCTCTCGGGTCCACCTCACGCGTTCGGTCCGCCTCACGCGGTCGGTCCGCTTCGAAGAGGCCCTTTCTTTTCTCGGAAAAGGCAAGTCTCAAGGAGGTTCGTGAAAGAACACATCAGAAACTTTTGACACGCAGTGAGTTTTTCTTTATGTTTCTTTTGATTTTGATCTTGTTCAGTTTGTGGCTGCTGCCGGCGGAAGAAGGCTGGAATTGTGACATGAGCAAGGGGATTGGACGTTGAAGCTGTAAAGATTGATGCGAAAGGCAACACAAGTTGGAATGTTCGTGCTTGCGTTCTGCATGCACATTGCTGATGTATTGCTGACGCTTTGGTCATATTCTCCTTGGATGCCGTATCTTGTCCTGCCTTGATTGTCTGTCTTGTTTGGCAAACACGGATTTGCTGTGAGGGGTTCTCAACTCCTCGACTGTCTCTTTTTCTCTCCTATGGCTCGGAGGCTGATATGACTCTGCTTTGTCTCCCTTTGTCTCGTGCTTGCGACGAGTCAGCACATAGTCTTTGGCCGTTTGGGCTTGTTTATGCCAGGGGTTGGGGCCCCTATGGAAACATGAGCTATTTACACGCTCCAGTCATCTGGCAACACCAGTGCTGAGCCCGCTTGAAGTGAAGGTGAAGAAGTCATACACATTTTGTCCCAAAGGATTTGCAGATGCTGCTTCTTCCAACGTCATGCTGCTACATTGCTGGAGGCTTTGTTGTGAAGATTCTGATCCCCATGGACGACGAAAGCACTTGGAGACGAGAGGCACGAAGAGGACGCACAGATCGCTTCAGCATGAACATGACGGCGCGTCGTCTTGACAGCTGCGAAAGCAAGTCAATGAAACTGACATCGGTTTTTGTTGAAGGAAAGACATGGAACTGACATTTCTTGGTGCTCTTGCAACGTCGGCAACGGTTCAGACCTCAGGTAGAGAGACTTTCATGGATGCAGACTGGTCACTGGCCGGGGTTTGACCGATACTGTTTGGTCCAGTTCTTTCAGTCGCAGTGAGACTGTTTGGTTCGCATATAAGGCTTGGTCCGTGAAAGCTCCGTCTCTTGTCCGTGCACCGAGGGCCTGGCAGCTGACGCAGTGGGGTCGGAGGCCATCGCTAGGTAGGAGGGCAGAGTGGCTTTTAAAAAGGTCTTTTCTTTCCTTTTCGTAACCTTCCATGACTGCGAGGTTTGGCTTTGGCGGGGAAGACTGAGGCGAGTTCACCTCGTGTTTTGTCACAAAGCAGTGCTGTAGAAGACTTCAAATCCATGTGCTGTTGCAGGAACAAAATCAGCCCAAGCATGCGCAAGCTGCTTAAGCGGAGCACCAAGCGGAGCACCAAGCGAAACCGTCTTGGTTCAATTCCCCGTAGTGGACCAGTGCTGTGGACCATATTTCGGTCACAATTTCTGCTAGTCCATGAGGGCGTCAAACACGCGTCGTTTTCCCGCGATTTGGCCGGTCTGTGTGGGCCGCAGCCCAACTTGGAAGCCACAGAGTTTGGCCAAGATCAAAGGTTGCGTCCCATTCCACTGTGGAATCAGCCGTCAAGACGTACCGGAATGTTTTAAGCTGCACATGTTTGAATCAGTCCACATTTTGAATCCGCCTTTGCCTGACATTCTCCGGTCATAGTGATTCTGTATGACCTGCTCACCGAAGCCTTGTGGAGTCAAGTTCTCAAGTTCGTCGTTGGCTTCATGAGAATTCCTACCAGATGATTCTAGTGCCAAGTCTTTGACAAGCTGTAGACAGCCAAGCGCCATTGAAACCGATACTTGATTTCTTTGATGCGCCTCCTGCAGACACCTTAATGTGCAAGGAGGTGCACACGGCGCGACTTCTCGAATGCTTTTCCTCATCTTTGTTTCTTCCTTTTTGGTCAGTGTGCTTGTCGAATAATTTTGAGTTGTTCTCTTTTCTTGCTTGAGAGTGCTTTGCGGTTTTCGATTCGCACGCTTCCAAAAGCATCTGCCGCTCCAGGCGATGGATACTGGTTGCTGGTTACATGGTGTTCATATTCACAAGAAGGGTCACCCTAAGCCGTGGCTACCAGGTGGGGAAAGACGGACACGGCGCACACGGCGGAGCGTGGCCGAGCGTGGCGGAGCGTAGCCGATCGTCTCGTCAGGTGTCTCCCTTCCTCCTCAAGGTTTGGAGCGGCACCAAGCATTGCTCCAGCTGGCAGAACGCGCTGCCGAGGGGCAGATATTGAGCTTTGAGGAGCTTTTTCAAGAGACTGGAAGAGAGAATGAACAGTTCGAAGAGAAAAAACCAACACCTGCTTCAAAGGGCGACAGAAAGGGAAGTTGGTTGAAGCCCTGCCTTTTGCCCTTTTTGTCGATGCGTCCTCGCTCCTTTCCGGTTTCGGGAGGAACAGCAGAGCTGGAGCACAGACCTCAAGGGCCTAGTGCTCAGTGCTGTCGTGTTCTGATTTCCACGGCGTTTTCTTTCGACAACACCAGACCACGGCGTTTCCCCTTCGATTAGGGAGATTGGGGGAGATTGGGGGTCATTTTGTTTCGAATATCCAAGGTTTGCGCCAGAACTCATCTGCTCAGCAGCTGTCTCTGGACAAGCAGAGCGTTGCCACTCGCCACAACAGAAAACACCACAGCCACACAAATGTTTTTGGGCACCAAGGGCCAGATCTTGGTCTTTGTTTCGTTTGTTTCGCTTTGTGCCGCCCTCGATGTTCGATCCCAAGAGACGCTGTCTACCAGGTTTGGAATGGCCCTGCAGAGACGCTGTCTTTGATCCCTTTGCTACTGGCAGATCTGGTCTACGCTCCTGTCAAGCAAAGGCGACGTGCCTGGGCGGGTGGCTTGCACATGGCACTTGTCAAAGCCTTGGCTTTCTTTGGCATGCGCAGAATTGCACAGAGCGCTCAGTTCCCTATTGCTGAATACTTAGAACTTCAATGCTTCTGATCTGTATGACAATGACAGTCTTGTTGCCGTCCATGCATCTGTATTTTTACAAAAATGATAGAGCTGCTAGAGCTGCTAGAGCCAACAGATTTGTTCTGCCGATTGAAAACTAGACTGCAAGTCCTTCTGTCAAGACTGGAAGAGGTATAGCAAGCACATGGCAAGCCATGTAGTGGTCCTGGCACCACGACAGAGAGCCCGAGACCACAAGGCTCTGATATGCTGATTTTTCAGATCGCAGATGCAGCATGCATATCGCTTGCATTGTCAATTAGCACATCAATCACTGAAGCACTAGTTTGGACGACCGGAAGATCTACAGCCCCCCAAATCCCCGTTTTGCCGTGGCGATCTATGGATTAACTCCTGGTAGGTTGGATTGCTAGTAGGCTTTTTGTTTGACCCTTTTCTCTGACAGGCCGAGATCTGGCTACTGTGCATGATGGCAAGCACAGCACAGCTTCAAGGCTTTTTGGGACGCTTGTCACGACGGTCTTGTGTTCGTTGGGATCTGCAGGACCGAGTTGTTTTCTTTTTTTTCCAGTCAACCGAGTGACGCTACGATCGGGGCTCCTGGCCTTACTACTAGGAGCAAGTAGCTACTAGTAACAAGCTACGAACGGAACAAGTCAACTTTTCTGTTTGCGAACGGATATGAGTTTTGTGTCGTTGCATGTGCGGAAGCTTGTTTGTGCGAGTGCTGTCTCTACGTAGCTAGCAAAAAAAAAACAGGTCTGAGCTGGTTTTCTGCAGGACTGCTTCCGGATCTCGAAGCTTGGCTTTCCGGAGTGGTTCCGCAGCCAGATCGTGCTTGGTTTGCAAGCGGGTCAAGAGCCGGCTTTGCCCGGCTTTGCCCTGTGACATGAGAACTTCACTGAGGAAAACCTGCCTAGGCCAGGGAGGCCAAGGCACGTTCTGAGACGCCGAGTCGACGACACGTTTGAGGTGAGTGAGAGTCTGCTGTGCAAGCCATAAAACACACACGAGTGTGAGTTCCATACCCTTTCTGGGGTTGGGCTCTTGAGCTTGGGAGCCTGGAAAAATCACAAGGTCACAAGGGTTGTTGAGATGAAACGGACATTTCCTTGGAAGCCAACTAACTAAGGCAAACCGTCTAAGACACGAAGAAAGGAAGGCAAGGGTATATACCTCTTCCCGAATTCATTTATCCCTGACACCTCTTCTGTTATTGTGGCTTCCATGGCAAAACATTGACATACCGACATACCATGAAGTTGACAAACATAAGTTCATGATGGCTGAGTTCCTCCAGGTGCGATCTTCAGTGGCTTAAACCTTGATCACATCGAGCAACCCAGGCCTTCCGGGGCCATCCTTGCAAAATGTGCGTCGAATTGATGGCGTTCAAGGTATGACAGAGCATGCAAAAACACCGACCATGCAAGAAGAAAATGCAAAAGCACGTTGGTTTTTCCTTACTCAATCATGATCATGGTAACTTTCTGCACCGTGAAGAACTAGTAGCTAGAAGCTACTAGGTTGGAGGCCATTGCTTCTAGGTTGGAGGCCATGACTAGTAGCTAGAAGCTACTAGTAACAAGCGCATTGCTCTGTTTGTGATTGCAACGAGAACCGAAGCAGTCCCAAGGAGCGATCGAACGACGTCGACTCGATTTTAGGATTCTCCCCGAATCCGACTCGATCTACCTGCCGTGTGCCCACAACTTCCGGGACATCGCTGCGAAGGCGGGATTGAGGTTGGAGGCCATCGCTGTTATTTTTTTGGCTTTTTCTCTCTCTCTCTCTCTCTTGTTACATTTGTTACTAGTAGCTACTTGCTCCTAGTAGTAAGGCCAAGAGCCCCTAGTAGCGTCCATTGCTCCTACACTCACTCACTCTCTCTCTCTCTCTCTCTCTGCGAAGGCGTGTTTTTTTGTGTTTTTCGAAACCGATGGCTTCAAAGATCGATGGTCCGTTGGGCGGAAACGGTGCCATCGAGATGCGTCGGATCGATGCAGGTGTGGAATAAAGACACCGAAGAAACGGTGCTGAAGGAGGTCACCTTCTTGCAACAGCTTCTTGGGTCGCACTAAACTTCTAAACCCATCTAAACCGTTCTAAACCCTAAACCATGTGAAGTTGGATGAAGTTGGAACCATGCTGAACTGTCACCTTTTGAAAACACTTGCTGGAACACTTGCCATGACCTTCATTGTTTTTCCATCCCACTCAGCCACCCTAAGAAGTAAGTGGCTGAGGGCTGGAGGCCATCCCAACATCTCAGTGATGATGGGTGTTTTTTGTTCGGAGTCACCAGGCGCGGACCGAACGACCGAACGACCGTGCTTCCCAGATCGATCGATCGTGCGGTGCTCGTCGAATCCGGAACGCGGGTAGACCTGATGAGGGTCGAACAAGGTTTCACCGCTTGTGTTTTTTAGCTCTGATTGGCTCAGTACCTAGCAGCATCGAGTTGGAGAGGTCCTTACAGAGAATCATTGGTTGATTTTGGATGTTTTGGATGTTCCCGTGAAGGCAATCGCGTGCGTTGGGCATTGATCATGGAGCTGTGCAGTGGTGGTGATGCCGCTCGTTTTCTTTTTTTAATTCGGTCGACGTGTCGTTCGCGTGGTTCGTGCCGTTGTCGAATTGAGATGAAGTTCATTGAAGTGAAGTAGTAGCGATGCCCTTTGCTCCTAGTAGCTTCTTGTTACTAGTAGTAAGGCACTTGTTACTACTAGTAAGGCACTTGTTACTAGTAGCTTCTTGTTACTAGTAGTAGTGCAATTGTTACTAGTGGTTCATTTGTGATGCGTTTTGTGAAGTCATGTGTACATCAGCTGAGGTGCATGAGCATGCGAATCGGTGTGGCCTCATGGCGTTGGGACTTAGTACAGTGAAGCCTCCAAGCACCATAAAGGCACCAGATTGATTCCGTGCCAGCCTGTACTGGAGGAAATCCTGTAAGTCGTGAATTACGATGAATCAAGCTGATGTTCAGTGGGAATGATGTGTTCGTTTTTCCCGAAAGCATTGCGAAGGGTTCTTCCGGAAAATCTCTTGAACACTGACACTTCTACACTTACACTCACACACTGACACTTCCACACTTGCACTTGAACACTGACATTTCGACACGTACAGTTGAACACTTACGCTTCCACACTTACACTTGAACATGAACATGAAGACTACACTTCTAGACGTATCCCAGTGTAAGTGTAAGTGTCAGAGTGAAAGCATGCAAGGGCAAGTATGCAAGTGTAAGTATCCAAGTGCAAAAGTATGCAAGTGTAATGCCAGTGTAAGTATCCCAGTGCAATCCCAGTCCAAGTATGCAAGTGTGAGTATGGAAAACTTTCACGGGAGATGTCCTAATGAAAAACATTTCCCCACTTTATAAATTCTCTCTTAAAGGTGGAGGGTGGGACGAACAGCGTCAACCGAAAATGCAACCCTCTGCGGAGATCGTGCGTGTCGAGTGCCGAAATGCAGGCGAGAGTGCGATTTGATCTATGCCCGCGCAACCCTCTGCGGAGATCGTGCGTGTCGAGTGCCGAAATGCAGGCGAGAGTGCGATTGGGTCTGTGCGCGCGCAACCCTCTGCGGAGATGGTGCGTGTCGAGTGCGCGAGCGAGAGTGCGACTGGGTCTG